TTTTTTTTTTTTTTTTTTTTTTTTTTGTTACTTTTCACGCGGACAGCCGCTGCGCATAATGCAAGGAATACACATCGCATAAGCGCGATGATTTTCAAATGTGTGCAACAAACGTGAGGGGTGGTGGAAACTTCGCCGGTATACTCGATGTTCATAGAAATGTTTGACATATTTCGCAGAGAATTTAAAATGTAGGGTATTCGAATTATTTCGAAAAATGAAACCTTTTCGCGATATTATCCGAGGTATTATCGCCACGTGCGAGTACGGCTTCGTGAACGGGATATAGATCGGGATTCAGTTTTTTTTCGAAACGAAGCGAATCGATCAGTTTGAACCCATCTGACCCCACGTGGACGTAAAGGGTTGAAAGCGGGAGGAGAAGCCGCGGGGAGGGAAGGGGAAGAGAAAAGGAAGAAGTACAAAAGAGGGCTGAAAAGAGAGAACGCGAGAGTGAAAATAAGAAGATATAGATAAAAGAGGCTGCACGTTGGCCTAACAAGACTCAGGACTCGGGGGGCTATTATCATAATTGTGGGCTGCAGGCAGCGGCTGTGCCTACAAACCAGAATACCTCTTGTCTCATCTACCTTCGTCCTCGTCTTCTTCTTCTTCTTCTTCTTCATTTTCGTCTTCGTCTTCTTCATCCTTCTCTTCTTTTTTTTTCCCGCGTCTGTTTCTTCTTCTTCTTCTTCGCAGCTTTTTACTTAACTTACGTTCTCTTGTATTTCGCACGTCTCTCACCGGCCTTTAACACGTACCGGAGACAAATGGATCGCGGTCTTCGCATTCAGCGGCATTCACCACCGTGTTCCACATTCGTCCGTCTATATTAAGAAAGTAATGAAAATAATCGCACGGCTAACGACGCGACACCGCGCACAAAGAGATCTCCCTCTGCAGCCGCAGATTGTTATATTGTCTAAGCGTAATTAAAAGTTTTTCACACGACGGCATTTAAATTTGACGCAATTAATTCAAGAAAAGCGAGCGATAATGCAAAATGTGTAGTAATTAATCTCGTTGTTTAATTAGAGGGATGCGAGATGTTCTATTTTAATGAAATTACAGCGCGTTCGGGTGCTGTTCAACCCACCGTTATTAAATTCAACTATGTGTGTGACAGTTCTTATTTGACGCGGACCACCCCGAATTCAAGTGGAACGAAAGCCATCATGTTTCTCGAAAAAAAGAACTTGAAAGTTCCTTGAAAAGAAACTATAAAAATGCACATGTATATTTTGCGCGTTCTTCCGTGTTGTGACCTCAATATCAGTCGTAAAAATACAATACGAGATAATTTTTTGAAGGAATATAAATTCTAATTAAATCAACCGTCGTTATTAAATTCAACTATATGTGGGGTTCTTTGACGCGGACCATCCCGAATCCAGGTGAAACGGCGACAACCATGTTTCTCTCGTTCTTTAGAAAGGGACTACGTGAAATGTATATTTTGTGCGTTCTCTGTGTGTTGATCTCGATATTAGTTGTAAAAACAGTGCGAGAGATATTTTTGAAGAAATTCTAGTCTAAACAAACGCTTTTCGAAACACCGTTAGATTTCCGTAAAGTGTAAATTATTATTTTTAATGTCCAACCAGTTGAGTAATTATGTTAAGTATATTAATTATAAATATTAACACGTTTCTTGTATAAATATATATATTTATATATCTGTTAATGAACACAATTCTCGTAAAACTCTCCATTAAATTATTCTCTCCTTTTGCGAGAGAGAAGATTAACATCTGCTGTAATGAGCCTTATTTTCTTAATGAGAACTTGGGATGCTTACGAAGTAAGTATATATGATGCAATTGTCTAAAATAGTTCAACAAATTAAAAGCGATTTGAAACCGAACACACACGCACAAATATATCGCAGAAGAAATTCTCAGTCTCGAATATTCATTTTTTTTTTCCGGTGAACGGGAGATCAAAAGCCTCTGACGGGTGCGTTAGAACATTGATTTTTCTGTAAATTATGCGAAGTATACACAAAGTAAATACATCCTTAAATCGTTGTACGGTGTGTCGAAAGAGCATTTTTTTTCACCCTATTTGTTTCCCGTGCACTCTTTCAGCAAGAGATACCAGGGGCGTGTATGTTTGTTTAGCCTCGGTGTACCCTGTTATTAGGGACCGCGCTGCCCGTGCCCCTTCGAAAACCGTGGGCCTACGCCGAGATTTGGGCGCCGCGAGCTCGATCGTGCATCCCCTTCCGCGCCCTTCCATCTCATACCCCCTCTTCACTAGTTTATTTCGTGTGTAAAAGGAGTTCTCGAGAGGAAAAAAGAAACGACGAGATAAGTTCGGAAGAGGATTTCTCAGGGCTCCTAGCAGTCTCTCTTTCTTTTTTACTCTTTCTCTCTTTTTTTCTCTCTCTCTCTCTCTCTCTCTCTTTCTTTCTTTCTGCTTCTATCTAGATCTTGATTTAGATCCCACCGTGTTTTAATTTATTACAAGCGATTGCGACGATTACACGGAAACATCTATTTGGCTGGAAAAAATATACGCCAAGGTTTTGCTTGTGAAAATAAAGAGAGAAAAACCGAGTGTGTAGCGAAATTCGTGTAATCCGGGAAGAAAGAGACTTAGAAATTATCTGTTAAAAATGAATTTTTTAAATTTTAAATATATATGTAAAAAATATAACATATTCCATATTTTGTTTGAAATTAAATTTTGTTAGAAATTAAATTCCTCTATTCCTGCGAACACGCGCAAGTAGGTCAATTTAATTTACGATCACGTAATTTAACGCGTTATATATATATATAAGTGACGTGGTAGCATAATACCAATTTAAACGCGTAATTATTTGTTTATATATATACACCGTTAACGTCACATTCTATCAAACTTCATATACGCGCGCATTCATCGAAGAATGAGGCTATACATATATATATATATATTTTTTTTTTGTAGTTTTTGTGGGACGATTCGTGGGATAGCGCGACTCCTTTCTTTCGATGCACAATGCATCTCTGATGACATATCCTGCAGCTCCGGCAATTGAATACTGTCTGTTTGCGCGGATGGCACGTGACAATGGCTGAAGGGCCGGTCCAGCACGTGACCGCACCTCGTGAGCTATTATTTGTTTAATTTAAGGCTATTGTCGCGCGGTGTTTTTCATCAGTCGCCGCTCGATTTATTTCGGCCGCGGTTATTTCCCGTATTTTTAACGTGGGAGAGAAAGACACATCGCCGTGTAGGAGATATAAACGAACGGTCGGAGATATCTCTGTTGTATATGTGTATACAACACGAGATCCGGGCTCGCAATCATCACAGATGATCAAACACGAAATCGTTTGTGACGCGATACGTCGTTCTGTCGATGTTCCATAATTTTTACCCTCCTCATTAATGAAACTTTTCACGTAGCTATTTTATTAGCGCGATTCCTCCCTCTCTGTGTATAAATAACGTTCGACGAACCGCGCATGTATTATGCATGCAATATTACACAGCCCGCGGAGACTCGGTCGCATGTAAATTTATCGTTATACATATATAGATAAACTTAATGATCGGTTAAATATTTCGTGCGTCTTTTTGCATAATTGAATTTTCATAACTGGTTCGGAAGAACATTTTACCGCGATCAATGCAACCGGAATGCATGATTGTGATCGCATTCTATAATCGCTGCGACGTTACGACTTGTTTAAAAAGCTGGTGCGACGCGCGCAATCTTACGAAGAAAATTGGCACCTGTCTTGCCGGGACTTTCTATCCACTAACGATAAACGTTCTAGACAAACAACCACGGATAAGTTTTCACACTTCTATACAGGAAGAAAACTGAGAGCGGCTAGGGCCATATGAAAAACTTTGATAGCTTTTCCGCCATGTAGACCAGCACTATGTGTCCATGGATGGTGCAACTACGTAGCCATGTCCACGAGCGACTTGTAAGTACGTGCGCTGTCCAAACATGGTTCTATTCTGCGCTATGTCCACAACGTGCAGCTCTACAGTCACGTGACAGGAAGAAAAAGAAAAACAACACGTGACTGACGTCACGTGACTTTATTTTACTCACTGTCTTTAAAAACGTGACTAAGTAAAGTCACGTGACAAAAAACAACACGTGATTAAAGTCACGTGACTTTCCTTTAGTCACGTGTCTGTAAAAACGTGACTAAAGTAAAATCACGTGACTGAATTAGTGGCTTCACTACTTTGGTGCTATCGGTGCTGACCGGCTGCTTGATCTTTTTTGACACTTGGACGTGTGCACAGTATAAAATCGCACGCTGCAGAAATGCACGCGGAATAGAACCATGTCCACGTTTGGACATAGCGCACGTACCGACAAGTCTCTCGTGGACATGGTTACGTAGTTGCCACTGTGCACCACTCATGGACATAGCGCTGGCTTACAGGACGGAAAAGGTATTATATTTTTTTATATGGCCCTGGCCGTTTTGTCTTCTCTCTACATATATAGAATTTGCTGGTAAAGTGGTGCCGATTGCAGATAAGATTGTGTAACTATATAATACACACACGTATAGTAGACCATCATCACAGTTAATTAACATCAGAGAGAAAACGTTTGGTCGATGCATTTATATATATATATATATATATATATATATCTCTGCTAATATATTTTATTTATAAGCTACATAAACTTTAATTTATTGTAAAATACTTTACTATAAAATATGTAAATAAAATTTTTAATCAACACTAAGAAACTATATTTTAACTAATTATATTTTATGTATGTATGTATTTATCGTTTTATCATCTTATAATATCAGTAACATAATTATTACTTTTTGTAACAAAAGCTCGTTGTGTTACGAATATACTTTGTCAGTACAAGCTGATTATATGTAGGGAAGTATTTTACATTCGAAACTTCAACGTTATTGAATATTCATAAGTGTGTTTATGTCTTATGTCATTATAAACGCGAAGTAATTTATTTCTCAGCGTGTAAAATTATTATTGTAATAGAAAATAATATATATGCAGTGATTAACACATATGTTTATTTTTTTGTCTTATTACATATTGCTTTTAAAATCACAGGCACAAACAAAACTGTATAGAGTTTTACAAATTATAAAAAATCATAATTTACGCAGTGGTTTTGACTTTAAATAAATGCCACTTTAATGTCAATCTCATTAATGTCAAGTGTTTACAATGTTTGAACGTAGTAAAGTCACATAACACGTCTGCATAATTACGATTACATCATTTCGCAATTCAAAGATTCATAACTCTTGTCGCAAGACCATCGTCGTTTTTTTTTTTTTTCCAAAAGATCTATTTCGTCGTTTCTAATACGAAGCCGGACAATTCTTCTGATTCGTGCGAATGAAGTACGCTCTGCTAATGTTGTTTTTGTCGATAACTTGATAAGCTTTCTCCAGAACTTCGACCGGCGGATTTGGCTCTCGCGTCAGAATCCAAACGTTTCGCACGCTGAAAAAAATAGAGAAAATATACGCGTGTCGTAAAATTTTCAGACAACTTGTACATTCAATAATCTCTAATTGTCGGTTTTATATTTTCAAAGAGAACCCATGCGTACATGTGCATGCGCACACGATTTATCTCAACTTACTTTAACACTCCCAGATTTGCGCAGCTCCACACTACGGCGTACGATTTGTAATCCGTGTCCAGAATCCAATAGGGCGCTTCAACTGGCACCGGCAATGACGGAAAACTGACCGACAGTTTAGGATCGTCGGATTTGCCGAGTAATCTCGCCACGCCCTCGATGCTTGACGTAATCCCGCTACTGAATAAGGGAGCAAAAACTTTATCATCAACTGAATAATTGCTGACGAGATTGATTCTACTGCGTTCCCCGTGTGTTGCGCACAATAATGACTGAAAATTACTCCGCAAATGCATGTGTCATACTCACAACGATGATATTTGCTTATTGATAATCTTGACCGAACCGTCGTCCTCGTTCACACTGTAACTAGCCGTCACGCATTTTCCAGCGAACTCGAACCACGCGAAGTATCTCTCAACTTCGTACCATTTGCCTAAATACTAAAGAGAATCGCTTTTTGAAATCATTTTTCCATACTTAGGCTCGCATTTGCGCGTCAAATCAATTGTGTGTTTCTATTCACTCACGCTGTTAAGGTTGAAATTTTTCATAGTTTCCAAGTTAGGACAGGCGCCGATAAATGGTACCTGAGCCGTTGCCGCGGTCGCGACGGCGAGAATCACGAATATCCGTAACATATTGTCACCTTAAAGAAAAAACAAAAAAAAAACACACAGACAATTAGTAGAGCTTACCGCCAATCCGCAACGTGTCGCGACGTTACGTAACGCAACAAAATATTTTTGGATTTGTTGGTAAATTTTTTTTCTGTCAGATGAATCACCGGTTTTACATACGTGTCAAACGGCTCGAAAAATCAATCGCTCTGCAAGTCACTTTTACGTTGATGCGCTCTGTCTTTGATGTGACGATATCGTTTACGTCTAGTCTCTTCTCGCGTTTTCCGAAGTATGTTGTTCGCACGAACTTCCTTACGCAAAAACGAAGGGAAATGAGCTCGCGCGCTTTTATATGACGTTTATTACACACACTTGTGTTGAAATGTATATTACTGTTAAACTAATGACGCGATATCTCCGAGTGACAGTGATGTTTATAAATGCGAATAATAGCTTGCTTGCTCGGACTAGTTTTTGTCATTCCTTGTTACGTAATGACTTGTTGATTTATCTTACACGCAAGTGTGTACCGACGCACACTTGAGAAAAGAAACAATATTTTATTTGAAGTATCGTTTTTTGCTTCATTTTTTGTTCATTTACATACATGTATACACATACATTGCTAATTTAAAATTCTTATGAAACGTACGTTACATACAACGATAATCCACGCGGGTCAACCATCAGCTACGCAAATATTTCACAAAACGACAGATTATTCGACCTCGTTGCGCACGATTTACGCGCGTCCGATTTTCGCGGCTATATTTGCGCAAGTGGCTCGCAGTGATCGACTAGAATATTTCTGCATCAAAAAGAGCGGTCGTGTGGAAAGAGGGACGAAAGTTGAACGCGGGTTATGGTAATCGGCTATGCGCGCAATCTCACACACGAGATCTAAAAAAAAAAATCCAGCACTCACCCGGTAACCTTGACCGTTGTATAAAATCCAGGAAAGAGATGTGCACGCGTCGAATATCAATTCGCCAGGACTGACGGGGGTTGACACGTAGTACGTATGTACTACTCCTCACAAACTGTTCGCAGATGACTGGCGCTGCTCTTCGGTGCCGCTCCGTGCACGCGGGAGAGACACTGACCCGCGAAGGTTGACTGGATTGCGTTTGAAGTTCTGTCAGTTTGTGGGTCGCTAACGGTACAAGCCTCGGGGTTCAAGAAACCCACATGCTCGAATTTGTTGTTGACCAGTAGATTGATGAGCGATTTCGAAGACGATGAAATCGTGTTATCATGTCAATATTATACACGATTGGATTTTTTGGGAAAATAATCGATTAATGATAAGCTGCGAAACAGCGAGCGACTGAAACACACGCGTAGCAACAAATAGCACATATTAGTAGATTTTTATTAAAATCAATCAACGCACGTGAAAATACTTGGAGTTTTTACGTCTATGATCGAATACACGCAGTTTTAAATGCTAATAATGTTTAAGGATATTTGTAAATTCAATGTTTGCACATTGCTTTATGAACTGTTAACTAATCTCTTCGGAATTCCGCAATTTTATCGAGAAGCTGTGTAAAGCAAAATCTGAATTTTATTTCTGTTTTAACAAAATTAGTACGTATCTTGCAAAATTTATTTGTTACATTTTATTTAATTTAACAACTATATTGAAGGGGTTTCTATTATTTTTTTCATATTTTCTTATAGATTTCGGAAACAACAGAAAGATCTAAAGCGCTAGTGCGATTTTACGAAATAAAATTTAACAAATTAACGACAAACATTTTATACGCAAAAATTATTCAACCATGTGATTTGTTGTCATTTGTATTCGAGTTCGAGATATTTGTTTTAATCATATGTGACATTTAGCGCCACTTTGTTTTATGTATCAAGTGAGATAGTTTCAGATCGGTGTCATCGAAAAGATCGAATCATTGGCGATATGTGAAAACGATGTGTACCCGTTAAGTGACCTATTTACAATATAATTACTAACGACGTAAGACGCCATGACGTTATTCAAGCTTTTATCGCATCATGGATGAGGAAGTCACACGAACTTTCCACAAGTCGCGCATAGAGGACACGTTTTCCTCGCATAACGTGCGCTCTCGCACAAACAATCATAATAAATTCTATCTTATCGTTGACAATTTTATAAATGAACATTTCTTTAATGACGTTGTGCGTTTCATTAATTACATCTTATTGTATTATTAGTCAAGTATTATAACGTGTAACAAGATATGCGCATAATTTGCATTTAAAAATCCGTACGTTCCACGTCGCGTTTCGGTGATTAATTAATTTTATCTTCACGCACTGTTACATCCGTGCAACGATAAAGGAAGGTAATTAATAAAAAAAACAAATGTTGAAATTATTGTTAAGAACAGTTTTTTTTAATAACAATTTTTATTTACGTTTGTTTGTTTTTTTTTATACATTTGTATTTGTTTGTTTTTTTTTTTTTTTTACATTTTTTAAAATACATTTGTAAAAACCATATCCATAGGACAAAGCGCCGCGCCAACTCTATATATTTTCTCAAGCTGCGACGACGACGCGTCTACGGGACAATAAATAATGATCGTACGATACTTAAGCGAGACTGGTTCTTCGAGGAACCGCTACGAGACGCCTGAGAGACGTTGAATATGAAAATGCCCTTTGTGTAGCGTCAATTCACACACGCACACATCTTCTTCGATATTTCTAAGCAGTCTTTTCCGCTTCCTTCGGAAGTTCGCTATTTTCCTCTTTCGCGCTTTCCGCGGCGTTCTGCTCCTCGATCTTTTCGTCCTTGCCGTCATTGCTCTCCTGTTTTGTCGCCTCAGCGACTTTCAGAATCTGTTCTGGAACGGTATTTAACGGTTTCTTCTTCTCCGGAATTATCTCCGAGTTATCGGAGGACGCGTTCGAAGCCTCTGGTTTCTTCGGCTCGGCATCGGCGTCGTCCTTCAAAGTGACGGCGGATCTTGTATTGTGATTCTCAGCCGATTGATTTGACGGCGGCGCCTCCAAAAAAGAGCATTCCGTTTGATCGGTTCTCACAAAGAAGGTCTTCGGTATTTGGTACTTGTCAAGAACGCCATAGGCCTGCGCGATATAAGAATATTGTGTTATTTGCCGAGCAAACATCTAAATCGCTTTATACGTGACGACGCTTAGAATTAATTTACCATTAACAGTATACGTGATTTGCATTATATATTGATATTAAAAAATTGTAAACGTGTCACTTTTGGGTGTTCGCGACATTACCTTTTGAAGTACTTCTCCGGGTGGTATTCGTTGCCTCGTCATGATCCACGCGTTTTGGGTGTGGGCCAGACCAAGGTTCTGGCAGCTCCACAAAACGGCGTACGTATCGTAATCGGTCTCGAGCACCGAATATTTGGTCTCGGGAGTTAACGGGATTGTGTATTTAACCTGAAGTTTACCTTCATCGGCCTTGGAAGCTGCGGGCTTGATTTCGCCGTCCAATATCCTCTTTACACCGGTTCTAATACATCACACAAAAGTTTTATTGTATTGACACAAAACGTTTCGTCTGTTCGTAAACAAATTTAAATTAAGTCGCGACGTGTGTACTTACAAACGATTGGTAACTTGATTGCTCACGCGATATTTGCCATCAATGGTCTTGGTGTAATTTGCCATGACGCACCGAGAAACCACCTCGCTAAGCTGGAAGTATTTCTCGGCCTCGTACCAAGTGCCCAAGAACTGTGAGAGAATGTCACGCAGATTGTTCAAATTAGACAAGATTAAAATAATCTATTTGCCGTCGCTTTTTGTTTAGTTTTCATTCAAACCGTAAGTTCGAATAACATCGAGTGTTCTGAGCGAGAAATTGAATGTAAAATAATTCAATTTGCTTACTCTATTTATATTTGTGTTACGACGATACATGCGAGAGAGATTCGATAATTATAATTGAAGGACACAAATTGAATATCGGGAGTACAACAAAACGAATAAAAATAATCGCCGCGTGTAAATGTAAAAGTACAAGAAACTGATCAATATAAAGTAACGCAATTACTCACCCTTTCCATATCGAAGTTCGCCATGGGAATGTATTCTGGACAGAAGCCCAGACTGGGAATCTGGGCGGTGGCCAACGCCAGGACCGAGAGCGTTAAGATGCTTTTCCCGAACATGTTTGATGACGATCTACCTCAGGTATATGCCGCGACTCCGACCTTTATATACATTAAGCAGGAGCATTGACCGAACCAGTCCTATCCCCTCTATAAAGTAAACGCGGTGTTGGTAACTCTTACGGTACTCTTATGTGCCCCGCGAGAGATCCTTCGCCGCGGGCACCGATGGTCATTGGTCAATTATGCGCCTGTGAATCTCTCTTGGCAAGTTCATTGGCGACAAGAACTTACCAAGAACGAGAAATGCAAGATCCATTATGCAACTTCGGGGACGAACGGTACTTCTAGGTTGCGTGTAGAAACGCGCCAGATCCTTCGGGAATATTGCTAGAGAGACAAAGTCTTTCAACACTCCGCGAAATGTCTTCTCGAATTGTGTATATGGGAAGTTAATGGACGTGCGAGAAATGAATTTTGTGGTTCTCCGCAAACCCCATTGCTGCAAATTATTTATCCAAGTTAAAGTAGACCTCAGAAGACTGTGAGTCACCAGCGGAAGCGGATAATATATTTAACGAACAGCGGTATTTAGCATTTTGTGACTTTATAACATTACTTGTACAGACTGGCTGATGATGATCGAAAGAAGTAAATGATCGAAACATTATCATTAAATATATTATCCACTTGCAACGGAGACTCATAGCTTTTAAGATCTATTTTAACTTTCCAGAAACAAATTACTTATGTTCACTCAGTAAAAATTAAATTCTCTGTACAATAATTAGTAATTAATTGTTTTGTTCGCGATTACGCACATATATATATATATATATATATAGTTACAAATCTTTATGCAACGTCGGTTTTACAACTTTTTTTTTGTTTATGTGATACGTAAATTTATAATTGAAACGAGTTAGTCGTTACCGAGCGTCTTGATTACGAAACGCACACAAGGTGACGGTGTCATTCCTCTTCCTGTAGTCATTCATGTAGAAGCCGGTTTCAGAAACCTTGTTTATGTCCGGAGCAGGACATAAACATGCGATCGCATATTCTTCCGAACGCAAAACGAAAAGTGTGGACGTTACTTATCATCGTATAATTATGCAATCGACACTCTCGTGAGACTGGATTTTTAATACCGCTTGCACGGTGTTGGAACGTAGCCCACTGGTAACGGGGTCTCTCCCGCGGTGCGTGCGTTTTCTTTTTGTAACCAAAGTTCCGAGACCGTTAGGTTTCTCGACGATGTTGCGCCTTTCTTCACGAATTCTTTGAAGATTCCACAAATGACATGCCGCTAAACACACACACACACATTTTTTAGATATAACAATTAGTTTCTTGACTTCAATTGTATGGTCCTGTTCGCGCCGATGACGAGGAGTGGTGCAAAAACGCGATTAGAAAAAAAAGACAACGCGATGATATATAACCGTTCTTGATTGTAGCATATATTAGCAGTAAATTATGATTCAAATTATAATATCGATCAGATTAATACTAGAGTATAACATTCGAACTTCTAGTTGTCTTTTTTCCTTTTATAAAAATATAATACAAAAAAGAAAGATACTTTATTCGAAAAGCAACATTTTGCAAGAAGTAATTCGAAGTAGGTTTTTAGTTTTTTTTTTATTCTTTAACTAGTTTTATCTCTTGACATCGCTAAAACTTATTATTTATCAATATTTCTGAAAATTTTGCCGCAAATATTTTTATATACACATCTCTTACAGAATCGCGCGCGCGTTTAAATGATATAAATTTAGAGACGTTAATAATTAATATTTTTATGGGAGTATAGAGGGAGAGGATAAATCGACAATACACATAGTAGTTTCGATTTTATACGCATTCGCTTCCTTTTATATCTTCGTACACAATTTGTTTTTCTCAATTAATTTATTTCTTTATTTAAACCTATGAACACTAAGAAAGCACACGAAGCTCGCGCCCCGCTTGGAAGATGCTTAAAATCTATAAACTTTCACCCAGATGTCCGAGCGGAGAGAGAGAGAGAGAGAAAGATAACAAAAACTGTTATCTTTGTGGAAGAGCGTGACAATCTTTTTTTCGTTTTCCAAAGTTACATCGAAATTTCACTATTTTTTACGTTTCTTAAAAGTTTTTCTTTATTTTTCACAGACGAAATATACAATACATGTATAATTGCATCTTAAGAAATACACGTGCGATACATCATAAAATCAATCGACTTTTGACGTTTTTTTTTTTTTCTAACGTCAGACCGCATTTCGAAAAACCGAGATGAATAATTTTTTCATAAAAACCCATACGCCAATTATACATTTCATAGACACTCGGTCAACCGAAAGCGTGATTGGAGATCCTCTTATTTGTTGTTTCTTTACGTTACAGTTTTTCCGCCGGCGCGGACACTGGGTTTTCGAGTGTGTGGGACATCCGGGTGCGTACTAAATGTGTAATTAATTAACAATAAAATAATCTACAATATACATAATCTTAGTGCATTTTTTTACGATTCGGAAAGAGAGGGGAAAAGAAGGGACAACTGAAGTCGGAAGTGTGTGATAAGGTCGGGAGGGTAGAGGAAGAAATGACGAACAAAAAGAAGCTGGGTTGCTTATAAATTACACTACAGGCGACTCGCAAGATCGTTCTAATCGTCGTTTTCCTCCCGTTTTTTTTTTTCACTTTTTTCTCTTTTCGCGTCGATTTATACAAAGTTTCCTTCTTCATTCTCGAAAGCCGCGAATCGCGCTCGTAACACGAGAGAACGCCACGCGGCGCATCGCACAACACACAAATAATTACTTTAGCGCTTTATTAACATTTAGTATCACATTACGTTAAACTTGTTTTATGCTGGCCTGGTTTTTCCCTGGCTTTGCGAGAGCGCACACCACCCTTCCAACCTCTTTTTTTGCTCCGTGTACTGTTTCCCGGGAACGTTGTAACGGAGGAAAGTGAAGAGGAGAAAGAAGACACGCGTACAATACAATAAAATATACACAATACGACGGAATTGTTTTTTTTGTTTTTTTGTTTTTTTTTCCCATTCTCTCTTCAGTGATTGGCGATCGTGAAAACGAACGGTAATATACAAAATGTGCTCGATTGCAACGCTATCGATCAGATCACGGTCAGTCGGAAAGATATCGTCGGTTTCCTGTACATCAAATTCGACGCTTCATCGAGTGTGCATTCGCATTGTTTGCTCGCGTTCTCCACGACCGTATCTCGACCGAGAATTTAGCCATTACGAAGAGAAAATATTCCCGATCGGTTGTCCTTCTTCCGTGTCGGTTGATCTCACTCGACTTTTATTGCTATCTAAATCAGATTAAATAAAAATTTACTATAGCGAACTTTTCCGCATTCTCTTTTCCATTTTATTTACTCCCACACAAAAGAATCTCTCGGCACTGATATACATATATATATATATATGTATAAAATATATACATATATAAACAATTATACAAATATATATATTAAAATTGTAGCGTATTTTGTTTGTTTGTTTTTTTTTTTTTTTCAAAGTACAGTTGCCGTTTAAAACTCTCTCTCTCATTGGTTTCAAATCTAAAACTCTGTCGTTTGTGTTTTAACCTCGCTTGAATTCTACTGTCTCTTTGGTGCATGTATGTACCGAAACCACGCTTCAACACCGGAACGTGTCTATATGTTTCTCATCAAAATTCTCTGTACAATACACATATATACGTGTTCACGTACGTGTTCTCTCTAAAGTTTCCTCACAGTTACAATTTAATTAAACGTTTGCTGTGAAAGTTTAAGAGTTTACAGATTTTTATCCACTTTGTAGGTACATACGTGGAATGTATACATATATATATATATATTCAATAACGTAAAATTGCCAAAAATTTATACTCGTATACCAATTAAGTATTTGAGAAAAAGTGTTCCATTTCTTCCCCCTTCACTTAAAGTCATTACCGAAATCAAAAGATGGTTGTGTCGATAGTTCAAAAAAAGGAGCAAAAAAGAGGTCGAGGCCCTTCTTTTTTTTTTTTTTTTTTTTTTTTAAGGCACCTTAGGTAATAATGCCTATCTAGAAAGAAAAAAAAAACATGACGTCCTGCGCCAAACAAAGAATGAAAATTAGAAAGAAGAAAGCTACTACTTACAACGATCTAACTAGCCTTAACACGGAGATTTGTATATTAACTCTAATGGATCATCCTTAAAATCTTTCAATTAAATTGTGGATTTATTAATAAGCGAGCTCGTGTCAATATTACAAACGCCCTATGTCTCTTAAGCCTATGAACACATAAGATCACTGCCCAATCGACGAATTTGGACCCACTTTGACAAGGCACTCGAGTCGCTAATAGATTTTACATATATCGACGACGACGTGACAAACCGGACCGGTAATAGAAGACAATACAGAGCGACGAAAACGTCAAAAAAAAAAAACAAAAAAAAAACAAAAAAAAATAAACAAGTGTTTGACAAACAGAATATGTTTAACAAACGTCCCAACGTGTTTACTGGACATTAAAAATTGTATATTGAGTTTTTTTTATATATATAAATATTTAAATAGAACGATTGTTTCTTCCGCAATCAATCAAAATTCCATTTTCTCAATAACGATTAATCTTTCCGAGTAGATGATAATTCGAGGCGATTGGCGGGCAGGACACCTAAGATCTACCTAAGAGAGAAATCGGTGGAAAGTTGGTTGGTCCCATTTGCGAAGTTTACACATGAAATAAATAAATTCTACTCCACATATCCGCTCGTTTTTCCTATTTATAACATTATTTACATGAGATTGAGATATTAGTCGCGCGCTGAGGTAAAAACGGGACATATCTTGCGGGTGTAAACGGTTGACGGTTGATTAAACTAAAAATTAAACAACAAACAAAACGCAACAAAGAGACTGCGCTTCACCCCTACAAGCTCGTCAAGATTTGGCGCGCGTGACAATAATAACACTTGTTCAACACTTTTTTATTGGGATCCGAATAAACAAAGTGTTTTCCGATGGATTTTTGATCGTTGAAGACGAATCCGGCGGCGAAATTGATCTGTTACGTCAAATTTCCGAGAAAATTGAAATTATGTAGCGCAAGTAAAATTTGCAAAAAAAAAAAAAATTGTTTTGCCGATTTTGTCACATTCAAGTTTCTCGGAAATCCGACGTGGGGTAATTTCGCAGCCGGATTTGTTTTCAGCGATCAAAGATCCGTCGGAAAACAAACTTTGTTTATTCGGATCCCTAAAAAAAGATCTATTTTTGTATAACTGTGTAATTGACTGTGCTCGCTCCTTGTACTATTTCCAGATACGTGCGTTCGACAAGTAGTATTCAATCAACTCGGACATAACGTCGACTCTTCAACACGAAGTCGGTTTTGTCAAACTTATCGCTTCTACGCGTAACAACAAGAATCGCAGAACAATGTTTTCGGATGCGTCGGAAACAAGAACACATGCTGACAATATATATTTATACATATATATGTATATATACATGCGTCTCGCTTCTTCCGTGCGCTCGGACAACGAGATTCTTTTCGAACTTTTATATATATTGTCAACAATGTCGCGCCATTTCGTACGCATCGTTGCAAAGGCACTTCTCCGGTGCTGTGTGCGCATACCGTTCGTTTTTCTTTTCGAAGGAAGCTCTAGTAAAGCGTTTTCGAATTCATAACAAATTCATCTTTTTTGGTATTTAACAGAATTATGTAACAATATATTACACCAAATCGAGAAAATATATTCTCACGTTATAATTTTACGCTTTATATATAATTTTTAGGATAATTTAGAAAAACTCAATCAAGTGGCGCTTGCTCTTACAGAACATTCTCTACGTTTCTATATAATTTTCAATTGTAGCTTTTAGTCGCACATCGAGAAATAGAGATTTTCTCGTATTGCAGATACGTAGATATAGACGAGGATATACGTTGTGTGAACATTATTTAAAATACGTTTGCCGTGTAACAAAAACTCTCAAATGACTAGATCGTTTCTATCTTTGCGTGTCTCCGCTCTTTTTCCTTCCGTTAAACTTCACCGTCTCAACTCTGTTCCAGCGTTTCTCGAATTTGACTTTTTTTCCAGAAAATCGAAAAATCAAATCAAAAACTATACAAGCGAAGGTCCACGTTATGCAAGTTTTTCTAAATGCTCACCAAATTATATTTTATTTCTCTTTCCGTGTTGCTTTTAAAATGTATTTTATTTACAAAAGACAGAAATTATTATTATTTTTTTTTAGTAAATTCAGATTAAGCACACTGTCAAAGTGTGAGAGATTATATATAATTTTATAAATTATTAAAATTTAGATAATCACACACTGACTGAAAAAAAAAAAAAAGAAAGAAGGAAGTTGCTAAAGTATTTACAGTTGTCTGGCTATTAACACGTTCACCGCAACGCGTCGCACGGCACCGATTTCTCCACGACTGTATTTTATTCCGTACTTGAGAAATAAACAAAGTCCAAAATAATCGGAAAAAGAGACACAAGCTACGTCTAAGGCAATCTACATCTATGATGTAGCGCGACCTGCGAAAAAGCATAGTTTCTTTTTTGTTTTTTTCCATCCGGCAGCGAGAGCGAACGTGTTAATATGCGAACATCACAGCGTACGTAGTTGATACATCTGTTGTACAAGGTATACGGTCTGACTTAAAAAAGTCGGAAGTGTCTCTCCTCGAGATCGCGTCGTTCTGACGAAAATTCTAAGAGCGATTTAAATGTTTCCGAACGACGTTGCGTCATTTACTCGAGATGACAATGCGTATTATGTAGCCTAATACAATAACCATGCAGGTTGGCTGAAGGTACGTTAAAATTGGAAGAAAAAAAATAATGACGTTGCGTCACGGCGCGCTCGAGGAGGAGCAGCACTCCTCAGCACCGGATGGCCTTTGACTGTGTCGCTATTCGTGATACTCGCGATGCAGATTTCGACTGAGCAGCAGATTGTTGTGCGGCCCGGAGAGATGCCTGATGAGGTCTTGCAGATTGACGAAGTTTGACGAGGAGCAGAAACAGCACGCGAACGTATTATCACCGGCGGCTATCGCGTTACGATGCACCGAACACAAGTGTTTCAGCAAATGAGCTTTCTGCTTGAACATGGCGACGCACAGTCTACACGCGAACGGCTTCTCACCCGTATGTACGCGCAAGTGAGTCTTCAGGTTCCATGACATGCCGAACTGTTTGCCGCAATAGCTGCACCGGTATTCTCGTACGGGATTCGATTTCGGCGGGTCGTCCGTTGACGGTGGCGGCGGCGGCGCGCGGGCGGGTGGCAACGACCAGCCCCAGGGTGGCTCGGTGGCGAGAGTGCCCGCCGATGCCGGATCGGCGCTCGGCGGTCGATGTGACGGCGGCGTCCCCGATCCATCCTGCTGAACATAAATAATCGGTTTAATGAACAAACCGAGGGAAGAAGTCGCGATTTATTGCGGGAGAGATCGCGGTTTGATTTCACAGAGAAGCGCGCAATTGTAAATTTTACATCACACATTTTAAAATAATATTCTTATCACAAACGCAACACTTTTATGAGACAAAAGTACACAAAGCGTGTGTAATGATTCGCAATATAGTTAATATTCATTGAAACGTGGAAAGTAAAATATTGAAATTGTATTTTACCAGGTACGGTGGTGCGGAAACGCTCAGCGGATGAGGCGCCTGCAACCTTCTTGGCGTCTCGAATCCGGGGTTAAAGGGCACGAAGGCTGGATTTTGCGCGGGAGCGTTGTGAAAACCTGGCCTTCGCTTTCGATGAGGAGTCACGACGTAAGCTTCCGGAGGTGGTATCGGTATTTCTTCCGGTTTTCTTTTACCGGGTTCTAGACCTAACGCCAGTCGCGCTATGTGTCTCTTCCTCTCGTCAGTTTCGTCAAGAGATTCTCGCCTCTCGAATATTTGCTTTTCAGACCTGCAAACGTCAAATAATCTTTAGACCTGCAAGGATCAGGAATCTTCTGATTTCTATTGTAGTGCTTTCGGACGCGCAGACCAGGTCATTTTATTCTTCATCATATTACGACATTCTGTTTCGTTGTTTTGTGGCGATCTTGTTGCGACATTAATCTTGTATCTTGCATACATGCGACACTTTTCTCATTTACATTTACACTTACGATACACACACACGCACACACACACACACACACACGCACACACACTTGTTATCGTGGCGAGATCAGTTTCTATCCTTACATCTACACATTCTTTCCTTTCGGCACTTTTTCTTCCGACCTTCGCGTCACGTCTGATTGCATAAGTCGAACGAACTGTCGCAAGGGCGTGCCGCTTTACTTCTATTCACACAATTCAATTTAACGACACTACCTTTAGATTTTACAACGTTCGTTTATTATGATTTACAATTATTTACGATTTTCCCTTCCGTAAACTCACGATTCTTTACGATTTTTCTCTTTTACAATCTGCCGATGTGTATTCTTTAGACCCTCCCGCACGTCTGCTTTTTTTTTACGACTCGAACCCCTGACTGAAAGCAAATGACTAATGACATTTATTAATTAAAAGTATATTTTAAAAATTCTTAAAACATATTGGAAAATTGTTATGATTAATTCACATATCTAATAATTATGTCTTTAATAAATGTCCGGATTCATATATATAAACTGAACAAATTTTCTGATATACAGTCAATTTTTCGAACTATTAGAAGATTTGATCCACAACACCGCCAACACTTGATTCACGTGCAAATTTTTGTGTTGATTCGTTGTTAGTAGTCATAAAAAATCTTTTCAATCGCAATATCACGTTCTTATATTCATCTCTTTTTTTCACGTAATTTTTCCGTAAACAAGAAAATTAGTTTTACTCATCTGTAACAAGACTAACCCATGTATATCGTGCGAGCCTTCGCTAGTGATGGAGGCGCCGGAATTGAGACTCAGATTAACAGGGTCAGAGCTATCCCTTCTTCTGGGCGGTTCCGTGCTGCTTTCCCTATTATCTGCAACAAGACCTTCGCCTTCCATACCTTCCACATCGACTTCCGCTTCCTCCTCGCAGCCTTCCGTTTTAATAAGGACCGAGCAACAGTCCGCGGGATTATTGGACTGTCTGAAAGACACCAAGTCCTATTTTATCTTGACAACATTTAACAGAAATAACTTATCCTTGTTTGTATTTCTTTATTTTGTATTGAGAGAAACACAAATCAAAAATATCCCAATGTTATTTACATTTTCTTTAGTAAATAATATGATAGTCACATTAATAACTGCGTTGGCTCTATTGTCAATTTTTTAATTTTCTTTCAATTAATTTTATTGAGCCGTTGTCGAAATTTTAATTTATTTACAATTGTGAAATAGAAGATAATTCGAAAATATCACTTTTATTTTACATAAATTTTTATACACGCATAATACTTTTACTAACCTGCTGTCGTACTGGGATTCATAACTCGAGCTCTCTTGGCTTTCCGATGGCTGTGGAGTTGGTATTCTTTCCGGGTCAGAGGTACTGTGAGGCTGATTTGGCTCAAACATTTCTGACTTGATTTGAAGAAGTTCAAAAAGCTCCTTTAACGGTGTGAGTTCCGTCGACTAGATAGAACACAAAATTTGTGTTTATTTTAACAACTTTCTTATTATTTGTTTTCGTGTCTAGAAGAAAAATGTAAATTTCCTAGAGTTGTTAAGTTCATATCACGCTAACGTTGCGAACGTGGATCGGAATGTAGTCAATCAAGACGAAGCTGCCTCACTTTTGCTTATTATTAACTGTTTTTCATTAATTCGTAAAGTTATGTGCCAAAAATCGTACCGGTATCAGAGCTTCTCCGTTATAAAGGAACTCCAACAAATGATTCAATTGAGTCTTTCGGACGCCGGATAAATGAACCACATGGTCCAGGGCGGGATTCCGAAGTAGACTAGCTAATAGGGGACTGGCTGCTGCCAAAACGACACGATGAGCCTTCACGATGGATCCATCGTCGCACGCTAGGGTCACGTCCACGTGACGGTCCCCGCTGTACCAGGCCCCGACCTCTGCGGCCAGGGTCGCTGGATGTTTTCCGTAATGAAGTGTCAGGAGACCGTCAGTATACATCGTCTGAAACATAAGATTAGAAAAATTATAAGTTATGTTAGTTTTTAAAAACAAAGAGTATAACAAATTATCAGAGATTTTGTAAAATTTTCACAGTCATTCATCAATTTACATCATTCATGAGAATACAAATAAAGAAAAAGAACAGCTTCGTTGCGCGCAAACTTCGTCGTAAAACGCGACCATGTCTCTCGATAGTCAAAGAAAAAAACACACAAATGTCAACAACAAAAATTGTATGTTACACATTTCAAATTAAATGACTTTTTATTAATCTGTAACACAATCTTAATGAAACGAGTGTCAATTATCAAAAGTGTCGGTATTTTCACAGCGCGAATCATACTCTACAAATTTAGAATATTAGTAGAATAAGCCGCTTTGTGGATTTAAAAGAACGTATTAAAAGAATTTATTACACGCGTCCTTAACCCAGTAAATGATCTCGTCGCCTTGCGTGTGTGTTAGAGAGACAACTTCGTTACTTTAATTTCCTCATTTCCTTCTGTCGTGTCTTGGCTCTCTTAGAAATAGCGGAAGACACATCACTGATGTGTCACGTGTTTTCTACGTTTCTCCTTTATCATCCTTTAACATCTACGCAGTTCTCAGTTGATCACGTCGAACGTGTTTCATGGTTCGCGTATTATTTCAGTAGTTCCTCTATCGCGCGTATTTACTTCTTGTTTTGAAACAAATATTTAACATCTATATTCAGTTTCGAAAACTTGAACGTGTCTTTTGGTTTTTACACAAACATACTTTCATAAACCGAGTGTGATTGTTGCACAACAAATGTTACATCTTCTTGACAATCAACCAAAAAAAAAAAAAAAAAACGTTAGCGATTTATAAAACAGAAGCACAGTTTATATAAAATCTTTCCGATTTAATTATAAAACAAAGATTTTTGAAATCAAGCGCTCTTTGATCAGATAATCTTACGTATCTCTTTTTGTGGCGCAAAAAGTAAAAAAAAATTGTGCTTTAATATTTCCTTATTTACCTCGTTTCTATATGTAATTAGTTCTTATTTCAGACATAACTCTGATATGAATTCTTATAATAAAAACTTTTTGCACACCATATAAAATAACGCATTAATTTTAAAACGGACAAAAACTTTCCATCTATTTACGTGTTCGAGAAATAGGCAAGTAATGACGCGTGAACATGATCCAAGAGAGCATCTCGTACATACTCGCTGCCGTGACCTTCAATCGATAGTCCGGTCAAATTCGAAAGGAAAGACCTTGGGTAAGAGTCACGAAGAAGATGCTGCGGATCCGACGTGGAATTTTAAATCGTCGAAAGTAGCGCGACGCGGTCAGAATCGATGTTAAATATTCACGGTAGCAGTTCACGGATAGATCACCACCGTCTATTTATTCTTAGATAATATCTCATCTTTTATTAAAAATTCCTTTCACATTAGATGTCACGGCGCGTTTCTCGTTACGCAACCGGAAAATTTACATCCGCTTGTTATTCATGCCTGCTTACATAAGAAAATTCATATTCTTGAAAATCTTTTGTGCAAAATAAGCAACACGGCGTTTCGCACACGTGTCTCTTTCTTTCTCGTTTAATTATCTTGCATTAACGTACGAAGCCGAGTCGGCTAAACAATAAGAGAAATATGATTTAAAAAAAAAGAGAGAGAGAGAGAGAGAATAATAGAATTCACTTCTTCTTTTCTTTTGATTTCGAGGAAAGTAACGAGTCAAACGAGAAAGAAAGTCGGCATGTGAGCGTCATATTGTTCTCTCGCTCGGTTAGGTGCACCGTGACAGACAATGATTAACGATAGGAATCGCAAGAACCGATTTAAAGCGATCTACTACAAATAAAGCGGATGAGGCGAGTAAAAAGGCTATGACGCAGCAGCAGTCGGCGCTCTAAATAAGGGAATCTGTTGCTGGGACTTGAAACATCGTCTTCGCATCGACATTACTATCACCGGCGGTGCTTACTACTGGAAATGCCAGCATGTGCCGATTGAAGTTCAGGGTCAGTCCTTATACTGGCCAGCCGGCCAGCTGGATTACGTTCGCGCTTATGCGTTCGCATTTTTCTTTCTTCTTCTATTTAGGCCTTGAAGAGTTGTCGGACAGGGTCCGCGTGTTACCACGAACGTAACAAACGACCGGACGAAGTATTACCTATGCGGATAAGTCGAGAAATGTGTAAGTATATGTGTGTGTGTGTAACACACCAATGGTACACCAACGTGCGATCATAATAATTCAGAAACAAAAATCGGTACATGTTATTTCGTCGAGTTCGGATTCCGAACGCTGCGAGCATACGAAATTAACTCTCTCACACGTGAAAGGATTCTTTTCGCATACTAAAAAAAAGTGAGAATTATGGGAAACCGAACTTATCGAAATTCTGTAGGTTTCTTTCAATCTCCTCTCAATAAACACATTTGGCGTTTCTGCACATTGAGATTATTGACCACAATCGAATTTCTCTGATACGTAAAGTCGTTTTATATCGATTGCAAGAGATTTAAATCGCACGCATCAAATTGTCGCGAGGTGCAAGAATCGCAATTGCGACGATCGCAATGCTACTTGCAATCGACTTGCTTGCGCGCTTAATAGCGAAACAAATTTAAAAAGTTCCTTCATACTTTGAAACAAGAATCGAAGTTTACACTTTTACCGACTAAGCCGCGTCTTTTTCCCGCTGCTGTGCTGTTCCCTGCTGTGTTCGGAACTAACTTTCGACTGTACAACCGCAATGCCCGATGTCGGTAAATACTTGGGCCACACTACTGTCTCAGACAAAAAGCCAAAAGACATCTTAAAGATGTCTAAAGACGTTTTCATGTCATCTTTCAGAGACATTCTGGTCTGATGTGTTGTCCGGGATATCCCTTCGGTGATATTCGCGCAAAATGCCGAAGAGAAACTTCAATGGGAAACGCAATGCGAAACTTGTTACTGTTAAACTCTCATTTTATGAAATATAAAACGGACATTCGGAGAGATTTATTTAACGTCTTGTATGTTGTACACACAATAACAAAAGTGTAAAAAAACAGCAAACAACGTGAAATATTTAAACTAAATATTTGAACTGCCTCGAAAGGCAGTTCAAAGGCTGGAAGGTTTTTTATTTTTTAATTTTAATATTTAAACTACACGACTGAGATTATAAAAATGTTGCGTTCACATAAAATGTTGATCAAAACTGACACATCTCAGATCGCTTCGGCGATCGTTCTGTAACCTGTTTCTCGAAATCTGAAGCGCGTGACGCAAATGTATCTCATATAAAAATCGCTTTTTTAACTCTCAGTTTTCTTTTTGTTACACCGAAAGTCTGTCATCTGTTGGATTTCGTCATCGTTCTCTGACGAATCGTCGTTATTTGAATTTAACATGCTGGCGGTGACGAAAAATAATATCGCAGTGCGGTAAAACCGCTGTCGGTGACAACCGCTTCTGAGGTCAAAACTTGAGATAAGAAGAGAAAGTAAACCGATAAATTCACGAATTTTACTGTGCAAGAGATCGACCGGCATCGCCGCCGCTCTCCGCTCTTATCGTCGGCTCTACGTGCGTGTGTGTGTGTGTGTGTAAAGAAACTCGCGTATGCGATTCGCAATACACGCGTGTGCGTTACGGATGTGTGTACTTTCATCTAGGCAATGCGCACGCGTGCGCGCATACAAACGCGCGAGGCGACGATGCGCGGTACCACGTACATGTACAAGCGAGCATTATAATCTCCTATCCGGATGACGGACGTTACGATCTACCATTGAATCGAACAATGGCGAAACTGGGTTACGCAAATGTCGAGGCTGGAAATTAAAGCGCGAGACACCGAGGAGGGTTTATGCCGACCGGAGAGAGGGAGAATTCGCGTCGCGGCCGAGCGATGAAAAAGATCGCGCACCGTTGAAAAACGCTACGCTTAATCGTAGGAAACGAGCGGTTCGTTAAACCCCGGGTTGCGCAAGGTAATTTTTCGAACTTTTGTGTGCCTTCACTTTTGTGTTGCCGCACGCGTACAACGCGGAGATAACAAAATGTTTTTTTTTTGTTTGATTTTTTTTTTTTTTTAGAGAAATTGTCAGTTTTGTCAATTGTCGGATTTGCTCGAAAAATTAGATATCGCGACAACTTGCTGATTTGAAAATGAAACGAGCTTGAGCGTCGACCAGCGCCGAGGATTGAGCAATGTGGAAAAGGACAAAGAGGGAAAGAGAGAGAGAGAGAGAAAGAGAAAGAGAATGTCATTACCTGTAACAGGGGGCCCAGGCGCGTTTCCGCTCTCTTTTTTGTGAGCCGAATTACGTTTCGCCAGTCTGACTGAGACTATAATTCGCGGTCTCATTGTACTCTCGCGTACATACTCGGATCATCAGTACATCCACTCGTATGGAACAATGAAACGATATCCCGTGGAAAAGCAACTCCAACAGAAAGAGCGCGGTTCGAACTGGTTACCGAAGTGAAGTTTTTCGAAGTCATTGAAGCGATCGGAAGCAGCTACATCGGTATTTCACGATACATTAAAGACGAGGACGAAAACAAAACAAAAATACCGCGGTTTGAGAAGCATTCCCGTGCTCTTCTCTATGTGAAGAGAATTCTGACGGGTGTGCCAGAAAAAAATAAAGATACGAGTTTTCGGAGGTCAGTAACGCGCACGTTTATTAGACAATAAAGATTTCTTTCTTTCTTTCTCTCATTCATAATGTTTGTCCGCTCTTTCATCGAATCGTTTAGCGCGAACTGCGGGGCGAGTTTAAACGTCTATTTTCGACGCGGACGAGTTTTTCTTTGATTCCGCCGGCATTTCGATTTCGAGATCGCGTTTACGTTTCCGTTGTCCAAAAATAACTTCGTGGTTCGCTGACTTCCCCTATAATTTGCCGCCGCACATTGTGTTTCGCGCGCGTTTCGAGAAACGCGCGAGAACGAGCCGGGCGCTTTATGGGGGAGGAGCGGAGGAGGGGGCAGGGTTGTGACACCCCGTGAAAC